TACATAAGGCTAGAATGTTAAATCTTATTCACCTGACTGATGTTATTCTTGTGCTTAATCACTAACGCAACATAGTTTATATAAAAGGGATGTCACATCTCATCTCTTCTCATATTTGATTCTACAGTAAAGTTATAATGCTGAAATTGTGATATAAGAATAATTTCATTATATATAAAATTGACTTCACTGCAAGATCAAGCAGAAGAGAAAGCAAGAATGTGACTAATCAAGTCTTTATTATGAGTAGGGGTCTACCAAATTCGCAGCCGTGAAAATCACATCACAGAATGTGAAATCTGGTCTCTGGCTGCCCGGCTCTGAAGGCAGAGTGGAGAACAGCTGTTGCTGGCCGGGTACCCAGCTCTGAAGGCAGTGCTGTGGCCAGCAGTAGCAGAGAAATAAGGGTGGCATGATATGGCCACCAGCAGCTGCTGCTCTCCGCTCTTCAATACCTCTGCTGCTGCTGGCGGCATTGCTGTCTGCAGAGCTGGGCGCCTGGGCAGCAGCTGCAGGTTTCCCGCCGCTTAGCTTCAGGCAGCGCCACTGTCAGCAGCAGCAGTGGAGAAGTAAGGATGGCAATACCACAACCCCCTAATAGGCTTGCAACCCCTTTTTGGGTCAGGGCCCCAGTCTGAGAAACGCTGTGGAGAAATCACACATTTTTCATGGGTTGGTCACAGTATAAATAGCAAATTTTCGCGGATGTGTTACCCATCTGCGAAATGTGCTATTTATGTCGTGACCAATCTGGGAAAAATGTGTGATTTCTCCGTGATTTAAGTAGACCCCTAATTATGACAGATATATTCAATAACAGCAAAAGTAGCACAGAAAAGTGCTGGCCAAGTTCAGGTTTTTGGTATAAATGTTTTTATTCTAAATTGATTTCAATATGAAAGTCCTCCTTCAAGGAACCCTCTGACCCTTAGCTACAGGAAAATACATGTATCCATGGCAACACACACCATGTGTTGAAGGACTGAATAGAACCTTTGTATCTAACTGGACACACTGAATGTATATCTGATGAAACCAAAAAAAGCCTATTTTCCCCATGACAATGCTTGCTACTTGGTCAAAAAGAAAGTTGGCAGGTATGTTTTCATTTATTGGAAAATACTTAATGGATGCTCACTGTAAATATATAAAACATTTATGCAAATACCTGTATGTTCAATAATTTAAAGAGAAAATACCAATATTACTATAGTGTGAAATGCGCAATGTATTTTAAATTTGACTGTCATGATCCACAAAAGGAAATAAAGCTATATGCTTATTTACAAGAATCTCTCATACAGATGAGGGAATACGTACACATATTCCACATAAACATGTACACATATTCTCTCTCCATCTGCCTACTCCCCGACAATTTAGCAATGGTCACAAATGAACACATCTATAATATACCAAGTATGACACACTGACAATATCCTGTAATAACCTGAACAAACTTTATGGAATTAAGATAAAGTTTATTGAATTAAGTTAAACCTGACTGAATTAGCGTCAATACTTTGGGGTACATTGTATAAAAAATGCAATTGTGTGTTATTGTGGCATTGTATGTACCTTCTCTAGTAGGGAAAGGGGGATGCTAATGTACTTCCTCCGTTATCAACCCTTTGAAGCCACCCACCTGGAGAGGTTTGCACATACTCGTTCAAACTGGAATCTCCAGGGACCAGACAAAGCAATGGTTTTTGGACAAACAGCCTGGTTTTAAATTGGCTCAGGGTCTTCTACCTGATACAGCAAATGGACAGGATCCCTGGTCCATGGAGGGCTCCGATCCTTTGGGGAGGGTTGGAAGGACAGGGCCTCCTGAGGGCTCATGAGACTGAGTGCTTGTTCTGAGCTGAAGCTGTGATGAACTTGTAACCAAAGGAATCCCCCTTATGTGGGGTTTGAAGGACAGCTCCTGTAAGAATCCATGTTAGGATAGGGGTGAACTCTGGTAAGCTTATTAGCACGCATATAGGTTCTTTTATTGTTTTCACTGTGGAATGTTTTTTACCTTAAGAATGAAGTAGGCTTGCACAGGAAGTGTTGTGTTGTGCTTTATAACTGTAGCAATTACACCTCTCAGTCTCTGCAGAGAAAGCAGGCAGACATACCTGGGCAGCCTATCTCTGCTGGGATTGACACAGTGAGGACAGGGAATGGTGCAGTCTGGAAATAGCATGGTCAGAAGGGAGGGAGAAACGTGTCTCCACCCAAGAGAGGTGACAGCTGGAGTGTCTGGAAACTAGAGTGGCTGCCCTTGATGGACAATAAAGGGGGAACACAGCTGCAGTTGCCCTGAAGGGACACACCAAGTTCTGAATATGCTAATCTGCTCTTCAGATGATCAAATGTAACTAGCTGCACATGAAAAGAAAAGACCTTTTCTGTTAGAATTTTTATTAAACCTTTTCTATTATCATTCCACCATCATTCATTCATAGTCCATGACACACAATTACAGTTCTGCATCCATAGTATCATTTTCAAAATCTACTTCAAACGATTATATTACCTTCGAGGAACGTTGTGTGGATATGGAATGACTATAAGTTGGGAGTTCGGGATGATAGCTGTCCATTCCTGTTTTCTTATGGACTGAAAGAAGGAATGAAGGTATATGCACTTCTTACAAACTAATACAAATTTTAAATATTCTGAACTTTTCTGATTAATGTTATACAAGAAAAAACAAAAAGCTCAAACAGTTAATTTTCCAGGAGACAGGAAAAAAATAGTGATAATTCTCTAACATTAATATAAAGATTTTTTTATCCTGAAAGATCCCAAGCAATTTACAAACTGAATAAAAATGATACACAAGGATCACTTCATCCACCACTGAAATACCACAATCTCTGAGGTGAACCATGGCAGTGTTTAAAAAGTGCACATTAGCACTCCAGTTTAGAGCAGGAAGTGAAGAATAAGCAGGGGTGAAAGTAAGTCTAGGGACTTACCGGTATGGGGCTGGGCTGGGGCCGGCTGTGGCCCCTGGAAGGGGCGGGGCTGGGGGAGGTCAGAGCCAGCTCCGGCCCACCCTATACCGGCAAGTGCTTCCTTCCCCCTCCCCAGGGTAACAGCGGCAGCCAGGGGCTCTAGAAGCGGTTTAAAGGGTCCTGGGCAGTAGCAACAGCCGGAACTCTGGGCCCTTTAAATCGACCCCGTCGCCGCTTCGCTAGGGCTCCGGCAGCAGGGCTCCGGGGATGGGGCTCCGGCTGCCACTACCGCACCGGCCCTTTAAATCGTCCCTGGAGCCTGCTGGAGTCCTGGGGAAGCGACGGCGGCGGGGCTCTGGGGACGATTTAAAGGGCCCAGGGCTTGGCCACCGCTACCGCCCCAGGCCCTTTAAATCGCCGCCCCAGCCCCACCGCTGCTACCCCAGGGCTCTGGCAGTGGGGCTCTGGCAGCAATTTAAAGGGCCAGGGGCTCCAGCCACTGCTGGGAGCTGCAGGCCCTTTAAATTGCGCCTGGGGAAGTCGATCCACCCTGGTACGGCGCACCGGCTCTTGCCGGTATGCCATACCGGGGCATACCAGCTTACTTTCACCTCTGAGAATATTATATCCAACTGATTCAGTAGGGAAATTTTATATAGGCAGAATTTAATTATCCAAATGTAGTCAGGACACTGGAGTAAACAGTCCTATTTTTAAAAATAGCATTGTGAGACCTTTCATCACCACAAGTTGTCAGGATCGTGGTTTCACATTTCATCAGCAGGAAGGTTCCTCCAGCAGAACCGTTCCCCTTGCACCATGCTGGTAAAGAGTACAATACCAATTCAGAGGGAAGCAGGTGATTCAACAGGTGACAGACATTGTTTTCCTGCCCTACCCTGGAATTCTTGAGTGTTTCCCAGCCAAGTACTGAGTCATGTGGGCCTCATCCACCTGGGGAGATCTGATGGGATTACAATATAAATTAGTGTGGTTGCTGGCATAATAATTGGATTCTTAGAGCAAACTGAAATGTTATTAATATAAACCAGCTCTATTTTTCTATGCAAACAGCACACAAACGCGTACTTCTCTGTTTTTCTCATGAGTGATATTTTTGTTTTATTGTTTACTTCAGAGGCTAATGAGTTAAACTATACGCTGGAGAAAATGGACACACAGTAATCTTCAGCAAACCGTTTTCAATACCCATGAAAAATGTTTCTTTATAATTCTGAGTTCTGAAAGAGAGCAGTCCTAAGAACAGCACCCCCCCAAAACTTCATTGGGCAAGGAAAATACCAGAAAAAATAGTTCACCCATGATAAATCTCAACTTACCTTTTCTCCTAAAGGACGAGGAATGCCAACATATAAGTGATCAAGGAAATTAGCACTGCGTCCCAAACCTAGCACACTGTAAGGCAACTGGAGAGCGAAATGAGCTGACTGGCTAAGTTGTCCAGCTAGAATTTAATTTAAAAAAAAAAGGTGTAGTGAATCTACTGCTTAAGACTTTCATCACAATAACATATTTTGACTGCAGTAATAATAATGTTTTAAAAATTATAAGTAAACAATACAATTATCTGTTCTTAAGTGACAGATCCTGCATTTCCAAATAATCTGTGGGCATTCAACATGAAGAATAAACTTATTCCACTAACAATTTCAGAACTAGCCACCAAATGTATACTGTAGACCAAATCTTCCTCTGATTTAAACCTGAGTTACATTAATTGCAAGCCAGGGCAGAAATTGGCTCCATTGGTAATAGATAATTATAAACAACTGAACACAAAGAACCGTTTTCCATTAACTGAAATCATGAAAAAGATACACATTTTTCTTAGCTAGCTTTAGATTCATTAACAACATATGATCTCCAGATATATTACTTACTGCATTTCAGCAAAATCTCTTACAATCTTTTCATCTTCTACAAGCACTTCTACAGCATATACTAACTTGGATCAAGTGTGGATCCTTTGTTTTCTAAAAAGCCCCTTATTAAAGGATTTGTTTATTGTTTCCATAACAGGAACAAGATAAACAATAAAACCACTTCAGCCCTTCACCAGGATAACAGAAATAATTTCAACCTGGAGAAGGGGACTGGCCGGTGACCACATGAGGTAAATTTTCAAAGTGTGAGAAGTAGTTTTCACAATTTTTTTTTAAACAGGAATTTGAGTGTCAAATTCTTGCACTGCTTTGACATGCTCTGATAGGTTATATTTTAAATCAAGTATCTCAAATTAAGCAATAAGACATGACAGGTTGTGAATTTTGGGTGCAATAATTCACACCTTGTATGTTAGAGTAGGAGGCCGCAGGCTGAGTTCTATTTATGCAACTAGGCAGGAATTATTATAACATAATTCAATCCCTGCAGTCCTTTCTTAGACAAAAATAAATATACTCCACCACCAAGGGAAGTAATCATTGGCAGGATGGTAAAACTTGAGAGCAAAGAGATCAAGATATTTTGACATGTTTTCTATTTTATTTTATGGATTCTGAAACACTGTCGACTTTATGACCCTTGGAGTGTTTAAAGCAATTGAACACTTTCATTTTAATTTCAGTTTGTATTGGCCTGTCACTCTGTTTAGCATTTAGCTGCATCCCTTGTTGCCACGAGTTGTCAGCGATATGTAATTTTACTAGGGTGGACAAAGCCTTCATTGCTTATCCTCTGATGGGGCAATGCCTTAAGCCCTGATCTTGCATCAGGTACAGCTGAACTCAGCTTTATTACAGAAAAAAAATGTCTAAAACTTAAAGTTAAACACATGGATACACTTTTGTAGAGATAAGGGCTTAGAAAGGAACCAGACTATCTTTGAAGAGCATGTTTTCAAATAACCAACTAGTTTTGTTTCTTATTTTAGCTCAAAGTATAGTTCAGTTAAGGGGGTGGGGGAAAAAAACTAGATCAGAATCTAATTGATTTAAATGAGCTTGGTTTCAATCCAAGGTGTGGAAATTTCACAGGAGCTGTCAGCAGCATTAGAGCTGCTCCAATTAAAGGCAGAAGGTAAGTTCAGCCCAAGTCAAGATGCTGAAACACAACATAATTTGTATACATGCCTAAAGGAGTGGGAAGCTGATTTAAGATACCCATGTCACACTTTTTGCATTTGGGGAAACCAGATTTTTGGGGAACTCAGCTGAAGAGCAGCCACTCTTTACAGTGTGCTCCACATCGAGCCAAGACGACATATCTGCTGGATTTGCTGCTGCTTACCGCAGCAATGACTTTGACAGTCACTTCTGAGTTTCTATTTTCCAGCTATGTTCATACGGAAAGTAGAATTCAACCATGGCATGGTACCTAAGTGACCTCTGCTGCATGACGGAGAGGGAACACAGAAGTGTGGTGTTCTGAGACTCACAGGATGGACCCCCAGTTTCCCTGCAGATACGGAGTCTCTACCAGTTTGGGCAGGACATCCCTGGCTCCCTTTGCAAGGCGGAAAACCAAATACCTCCAAATATCCAGGGCCTCGCATCATGTATATTTTAACTTGAAGTTTAACTTTTTTTCCCTAGGGAGGGTACCATAGGCCCAGTGACTATTGTCTTGAATTGCCAGCTTGCCTTAGAGCTCTTCGGCTTGTAAGGCTTATATTACATTGTACAAGGGGGTAGAACTGGTGATGATTGCCACAGATTTAAGATGTTACCGTGTTATGACCTTTTCTTAGACAGCTGTGAGTTCATGGATATCATTTCATACTACATGGTTTAAATGTGCAAATTGTGGAGTTTAAAAATTATCTATTAAAATGAAACTGCATTTTTGTATTCTTGGTTGGGAATCCCAAATATCAGTCAGGCAGAAATTGCAATTAACTCTACTGTAATAAGGATGAATGAATTATAGTATTTATCAAGGATACCACAACACTAAATAAAAAAATATTAAAATGTTTGTTCCTAAATAAATAAAGAAACTACATATGACATCTTTAATATGACATATGAATACACAGGCTGAGAAAAAAAGAAAATGATTATTTAAAAAAATAGATTTTTGGTAAAAGGATTTAATTTAATTTAAAAGGATTTAATGTCTTAGCTTGTGAGACAGGACTGAAAAATTACAGGCTTTCCCACAAGTCAGTGTGGTGCAGGAAGACAATTAGTCTTTTAAAAAAGAAAACTTCCTCTTTATATCATGGAATCTTTTATTCAAACTGAGGTGATCTGGTTAGTATTGTATTTATCAACGAAACTGAAAAGTCACAGCATAAAGAAGCAAATGAATTACAAAAGTGCATTGCAACAGTGAAGATTTTATTATTGGAATGCATAATAGCAGCAATAATGAAAAAATATCAGGGAATCTGTATAAGATGCAATACAAGTGTCAGACTTGCCAGCACATACTGATCTCAACTATGTCTGACTCAGGTCGAAGGATGTGAGAACATAAGAGAATGCAGCAAAAATTCAATCAAAAACAATCTTGGATCTTTCTGATTTTGAGCATAATTGTGTTCACAAATCTAAGAAGTGGACATTTTTCCAAAACATAAGGGTGGCTAACTCAATATTTGCCACAGGACTCTTTGCCGCTTTTACAGATCCAGATTAACACGGCTACCCTTCTGATACTTGACACCATGCAAGGCACTGCATTTAGCCGTATGGAGTGGAAATCCATCAACCTCATGAAGAAACTTGCACAAGTACAGACAGATATCATCTTCCTTTCCAAATGCAAACGGATGGACATCATACCAACTGAAGGTGAAAAATCCATTGCTATCTATATATTGCACAGACCACAGTGAGAGATTATGCCACACACTATCAAAGAAACTGAGGAACCACCTGATCAGCATCCTATACAACAAACAGGAAAACATCAAAAAAGAGCTCTCCAACCTGGAGACTCTCATAAATAACCAACCTTCCATACAAACGGACTTTACTAAAATAAGACAGGAGATCTACATTACACACTTCACCTCTCGACAAAGGAAAAGGGACTGTAAGCAATTTAAAATCCTACCTGCCACATGGGGCCACAACAGTGGTACCCATAACTCACCCAGCAATATCGTCAATCTATCCAGCTACACTCTCAGCCTGGCAGAAGAGTCTGTCCTATCTTGGGGACTCTCTTTCTGCCCCGCCACCCCCACAAACATGATACAGTCCTGTAGTGATCTGGAAGCCTACTTTCGCCGTCGCCGTCTCCGACTCAAAGAACACTTTCAAGATAACAGTGAACAGCACACTGATATACAGATACCCTCCCACCAACAGCACAAGAAGAATTACTCCACATGGACTCCTCCTGAGGGTCGAAATGACAGTCTGGACCTATACATAGGATGCTTCTGCCGACGTGCACAGGCAGAAATTGTGGAAAAACAACATCACTTGCCTCATAACCTAAGTCGTGCAGAACGCAATGCCATCCACAGCCTCAGAAACAACCCTGACATCAAAGAGGCTGATAAAGGAGGTGCTGTTGTCATCATGAACAGGTCTGACTACGAAAAGGAGGCTGCCAGACAACTCTCCAATACCAAATTCTATAGGCCACTTTCCTCAGATCCCACTGAGGAATACACTAAGAAACTGCACCATCTACACAGGACACTCCCTACACTAACACAGGAACAGATTAACATACCCTTTGAGCCCCGAGTGGGGTTATTCTATCTACCCAAGATCCACAAACCTGGAAATCCTGGATGCCCCCATCATCTCGGGCATTGGCACTCTCACTGAAGGACTGTCTGGATATGTGGACTCTCTACTCAGACCCTATACCACCAGCACTCCCAGCTATCTCCGTGACACCACTGATTTCCTCAGAAAACTACAATGCATTGGTGATCTTCCAGAAAACACCATCCTAGCCACCTAGCCATTGATGTAGAGGCTCTCTACATAAACATCCCACACACAGATGGAATACAAGCTGTCAGGAACAGTATCCCTTCCAATGCCACAGCACAACTGGTTGCTGAGCTCTGTGACTTTATCCTCACACACAATTATTTCAAATTTGGTGACAATATATACCTCCAGACCAGTGGCACTGCTATAGGCACCTGCATGGCCCCACAATATGCCAACATTTTTATGGCTGACCTGGAACAACGCTTCCTCAGCTCTCGTCCACTCACGCCCCTTCTCTACCTACGCTACATTGATGACATCTTCATCATCTGGATCCATGGGAAGGAAACCCTAGAAAAATTACACCACGATTTCAGTAGCTTCCACCCCAACATCAACCTCAGCCTGGACCAATCTACACGGGAGGTCCACTTCCTGGACACCACGGTGCAAATAAGTGACAGTCACGTTACCACCATCCTATACCGAAAACCCACTGACCGCTATGCCTACCTTCATGCCTCCAGCTTCCATTCTGGACACATCCACGATCCATTGTCTACAGCCAAGTGCTGAGGTACAACTGCATTTGCTCCAACCCCTCAGACAGAGACCAACACCTACAATATTTTCACCAAGCATTCTCAAAACTACGATACCCACACGAGGAAATAAGGAAACAGAATAACAGAGCCAGACGAATACCCAGAAGCCTCCTGCTGCAAGACAAGCCCAAGAAAGAAACCAACAGAACTCCACTGGCCATCACATACAGTCCTCAGCTAAAACCTCTCCAACGCATCATCAGTGATCTACAACCCATCCTGGAAAACAATCCCTCACTTTCACAGGCCTTGGGAGACAGGCCAGTCCTCGCCCACAGACAACCCGCCAACCTGAAGCATATTCTCACCAGCAACTACATACCGCACCATAGTAACTCTAACTCAGGAACCAATCCATGCAACAAACCTTGATGCCAACTCTGCCCACATATCTACACCAGCGACACCGTCACAGGACCTAACCAGATCAGCCACACTATCACCGGTTCAGTCACCTGCACGTCCACCAATTTAATATATGCCATCATGTGCCAGCAATGCCCCACTGCTATGTACATCGGCCAAACTGGACAGTCTCTATGTAAAAGGATAAATGGACACAAATCAGATATTAGGAATAGCAATATACAAAAACCTGTAGGAGAACACTTCAACCTCCCTGGACACACAATAGCAGATTTAAAGGTAGCCATCCTGCAGCAAAAAACTTCAGGACCAGACTTCAAAGAGAAACTACTGAGCTTTAGTTCATTTGCAAATTTGACACCATCAGCTCAGGATTAAACAAAGACTGTGACTGGCTAACCAACTACAAAAGCAGTTTCTCCTCCCATGGTGTTCACACCTCTACTGCTCGACGAGGGCCTCATCCTCCCTGATTGAACTAACCTCGTTATCCCTAGCCTGATTCTTGCTTGCATATTTATACCTGCCTCTGGAAATTTCCACTACATGCATCCGACGACGTGGGTATTCACCCACGAAAGCTTATGCTCCAATACCTCTGTTAGTCTACAAGGTGCCACAGGACTCTTTGCCATCAATATTTTCAAAGACTTTGATTTTATCTCAGTATTTTTATACTTGTAAATCCATTGCTTTCAATTAAACAAACTACAGAACAAGCAAAAAATAGAAAAACAGTGACCAATGTGTATTTGATAGTAGTGTCTTCTCGAGTCCCACATACGTGGGTGACATGATATTGCATTTGGGATTTTAGAAAGCATCAGAATGCTTTAATAATGTAAGCTACAGCATAAATAAATGCATAATCTATTATGATGATTTAGATAATGTATTTTACACTACTAACATGAACTGAGGCACTGTATTAGTATTAGGGCCAAGTATTTTGTGTGCTCATAACTTCTAAATTGCAATTTTTTAATCACTCACTGTTAAGAATACTGCTTAATGATAATTTTCCTTTTGATCTTCTTTTGGATACTAGCAGCTAAAGAAATGTGTCCACACAAAAAACATACGAACAACAGTATATAACAAAATGTAGTTATGCATTATAAACTTCTGGAGACAGGGACTTCTATTTTCTGTCTGAGTCTGTACTATGATGTACAGAGCATACACATAGGTGCATAAGAATATCTGTGCTCACAGTGAGTGTTCGAAGGATAACACCATAGCATTAATTATGAATCCTTCTACTTTAAGTCAGTTTGTGGAAAGCCTGGTACTTGAATAAGCTATTTATATTCTGGATTTTTGATTAATGGCATCGCACTGCAACAGTAGCAGAACTTCAGCACGTGCTTGGTTTGATATTCAGAGTCAATTCTTTGTTGGGCTGTGAAGGGACAGTACCACACACTGTTCTCTGGTAACACCTCCAACTGACCAAGGACCAGCACTGACAGGTGGCAGTGAGAACAGCACCAACCCCATCTCTGTCAGATGGCAAGGGAAACTTGAGGGGGTGTAAAATGGGAAATAAGGAGATTCGTGGGGCTCTGAGGGCACTTTGAAAGAAATGGCAACCACAGTTTCCTCCAAGAATGTCTTTTGATGTGCCATAGAAATATCAAGTATTGTTGAGGTATATAATATAACCATAAGAACATGCCTATTGTGGAGACCATTTGTGCTTTGAAAATTTATGTTTTCCTCTTAGGACTAAGATGCTATAGCCTTGGCTGTTAGAAGAAAGGTGTTCATTGGGACCATGCACAACGCTCTGCAATACCTACTGTAGGATTAGGATCTTCTTATATTTTGAATAATTTATCTGTAACCTTAACAAGTCCAAAAACTCAGCAGCGATGTGTATCAATGCCTTTTTTCAAAGCAGTGACCTTAGTGAGCGGTTTGCCCTGGAGACAGTCTGCTCACAGAGAGGAGACTTCACCAGAGTCCTGCCTGGCTTCGTAGGGAGCAGTTCCACAGCATCGCCCGGGGACTCCATGACAACTGGTGGCAGGATACTGTTCAAGGACAAGGCAAAGTTTGTACCTTGGAGAAGTTTTTAACCTAAGCTGGTAAGAATAAGCTTAGGGGGTCTTTCGGGTTTCTAACCATCAGAGGAGTGAAGTTTTGGAATAGCCTTCCGAGGGAAGTAGTGGGGGCAAAAGATCTATCTTGCTTTAAGATTAAACTCGATAAGTTTATGGAGGAGATGGTATGATGGGATAACATGGTTTTGGTAATTAAATATTCATGGTAAATAGGCCCAATGGCCTGTGATGGGTTTTTAGATGGGGTAAGATCCAAGTTACCCGGGAAAGAATTTTCTGTAGTATCTGGCTGATGAATCTTGCCCATATGCTCAGGGTTTAGCTGATCGCCATATTTGGGGTCGGGAAGGAATTTTCCTCCAGGGCAGATTGGAAGGCCCTGGAGGTTTTTCGCCTTCCTCTGTAGCATGGGGCACGGGTCACTTGCTGGAGGATTCTCTGCTCCTTGAGGTCTTCAAACTACAATTTGAGGACTTCAATAGCACAGATATAGGTGTGAGGTCTTTTTTAGGAGTGGTGGGTGAAATTCTGTGGCCTGCATTGTGCAGGAGGTCAGACTAGATGATCATAATGGTCCCTTCTGGCCTAAATATCTATGAATCTATGTGGGTCCCCACATCTCTACCCTAGAGTTCAGAGTGGGCAAGGAACCCTGACATGAGTGGAAATGGGCATGAATTATCAGTAACTAGATAAGACAGTAGTGTATATAATACATATGGAAATTCCTAGAAACTAATGTCAACCAATTTTCACTTTTCTCTCTGAAAACTACTGACATATGCTTTTGTGGCCGTATCAGCATTTGTTTCAGAAAATAACTGCAGTCTATTTTATTCAAGATGGGGAAGTATAGTAACTCCCCAAACGCAGCCTTGAATGTTTTTTTTTTCCTCCATAAATATTTACTGTTTCGAAGTCCAACGCTGGCACAGCATCCCTATATTTATTCTTTATGGGCTCAGGTTCTACTATATTTCAGTGAGAAAGAGGTTTTTCTTCTAGTACTGCATTACAAAGAGGATCTCTCTTGTAGAGTGTGAGAATGTAGAGGGAGAAAACGGTAAAGTCCAGAAAGGCTTAACAGCTATCTCAGAAGGATACAGGGGAGGAAAATTTTGAGACTCAGAATGTGAGTGGTATTATTTATCATTTTGGGATTGAGCTTTCATCACAAAGATGGATATCACCAGGAACCAAACCTGTCAGATATCTATTTATAAGTTCACATTTGCACATCACAGGAGAAAACAATTTTTTCAATTAGCGAATAGGCCAAATACTTTTCTCAGTCTCTCTCTCTCTGTCTAATTAGGGGGATATTGCCTTAAAGATGGTACCTAAAGTTTTAGGCATATTAATTCATTGGGGCTGGCAGTTTCTAGTATGATGGTAATATTATTAGTACAAATGCAAGAAATAAGAGTTCCAGGGATGGGATTCTCAACTCTCAGATTTAACTGAGGAAGATCCATTTCTAATTTCTATTAAAATATAGTATTGGGTTTTATCAAGTTACTTTCTTGGGAACATTATAGTGATGTAAGAGAAGTCATCATGTAAATCCTGAGATTATATTTGATCACTAAAGTGAAGTTCTACTTACTGACATCACTGTTTTTAAAACGTGAGGGTAATGTAAGTGGTTCATTTTGGTTCTTGAAATTTTAATTTTGCATTTTTGCACCCCCTAAATTATTAATTTCTCTTCCCACTTTCAGGCAGAAGTCCTCTTCTTCCCAGCAGGCTCCTACATAATCATAGGGTTGGGGCCAGAAGCAGCTTCCTGTAGAGACTGCTTATGACGACTTCTGAGATGCCCAAGAGGGAAGAGAGAAAGGCATACTTTGTGGCTTCCTCCTTCCCCAACCCCTCCAGATAATCTGGTGCAATGTGAGGGAAGGCTGAGAAGAAATACTTTGCCAGGGTAAGACATCACAGGGGCTTGTGTTCCAGGATGGACAGGGGTCTTGGTCTCTGTTGGAGTTTCCCCGACTTGTTCCCTGCTGGGGTATTTGCTGCCTTGCAGAATGAGTAGGGGGAATCAACTCCCTGAATGAGATCTTGGAGGAGCCATAAAAGTCAGGTGAATCCTATGGTGGGTGTGTCTCTTTGAACTGTCTCCAGGCTCCCTGTAACCCCTTCCTCAAGAGCTGCAGTGTCAAGAAGTCCCCTACTGCCCTACAATTCCTGGAAGAGGAGACCAGTAAAGTAGGAACCTGTTAAGTTACTGCTAAGGGTTACAAGAATCATAACATAGCAGTTAAATTTTCAGATGGAAATGTGATTTTTCAAGTTGATGGAGTCCACTGAACTATGGAGTCATTACAGCAGCTCTATGCACAAAAATGCAGTCAATAGCTATTCTGATACTTACAACGCTGTCTGATGGTTATATCTGAACATTTCATTTGTAGATCTGTAATTCCCTTTTTCTGGGGTGAGGAAGGAGTACAGGGTGTTTCTTTTTTTTTCTCTGCAAACGTCACTTTACCTCAACTAAATCCATGTTTGTCTGTCTGAGCCACATATTAATTTTTGTATTATCTAGTGCAGATCGTATCAGCTGGCTAAACCAAAGCATCCAAGATCAACTGGATGCGTACACTGTGGACAGTTCTATGTTGGAACTTAAAGGGAATGTATTGTGATGCTGGGAACTCCAATTATTGTGGGCGTAATGTGTGAGCTGAGGTTGGTCTGAAACAGTGAGTTTCTTGCATTTTAATGACTGCGGATATGGGAAATTCACTTGAACAATCTGAAGTCTAAATTAATGAAGATTTTTTAGTTTGGAAATAATAAAATGCTGTTTTGAAACTAAGGTCTCTGTTTAAACCTCTGGAGTATCCTTTTCTTTATTACAGGTATTTTAGAGCTGCAATGTTTTCCTATAAAAAGGGGACATTAACTTTAATTTGAGTTAAATACATTGAAATAGGATAGGTAATTTAACAGTCAGTTTTCTACACAAATGTTTTTTAAACCACAGTATTTCTTTAATGAGGTATAGCTGTGTTGTAGTATTTTATAAGTTCTTTGAAATGAGACATATTTTAAATTATTTTTATTGAACGTCTATAGTCTGCACCACCGGATAATTAAAATATAAAAGCTGAAATATTTAACTGGGATTTATGCTTTCAATCACCTGTTATAAATGTAGGTATGTTAAGTGCATTATTAGGCTAAGGAAACAAGTCCACTAAGTTTAAACAAGTTTACATATAAAAGCAACTATTTATTAAGAAAAATTGTTCACTCTGCTGCTTCTTGTCCAAAGATAACAGAAATTGAAACATTTTACTTAAGTCCAGTCAGTCACCAAATTTCCATATTCATAATCACTGGAAAATGTGTTGACATTTACTTTAATTCCCATTTATTGGGAAAAAGGCAGGAAAAATACAGAAAATATACTGAGTTCATTTAAAACATTAGGAAGTCTTTATTATGGCTTTTAACAACAGAACTTCCAAATTATAGCCCAATTTTGCCAATGTTACTCAAACTTGAGTACTGTCTTACTCCACAGGTACTCTCCCTGCTTTCAGTAGGACTATTCAAGAGGTAAGATACTACTCAACATGAGTAAATGGCAGAATCAGGTCTTAGATACACTGTTAAACAAACTCTGTTTGCTTACTCTTTCCTTTTCTAATCAGTAAACTATCTTGCCTTTCCTACTGCTTGTGTCATAAAACAGAAAACCTTGTAAAACCTAGAACGTACCCTGAATCCTTCCTTCAATCGTTCAGGGCTCCAGCTCTGAAGAGGCTGGGAATTCTGTGATCTCAAATAGGATCTTTAAGAGGTTACCACTGAAATAAACCTAAGACTTCACTCACTTTCACGAAGGGCTTGTATTAATAGAAGATGCACTGGTTTAACTTAGATCATTTTAGTTAAATCAGTGCAACTTAAGTGTGGACTCTCTTCTATCAGTTTATAACTGGTTTTATGGGTTTAGTTTGAACCTATAAATTTAGGCCTTACCTACATATGTGAGCTGCTCTGGTATACCAAACTGTTTTTTTAAACAGAGGTATTTAAACCAGCCAAACCCCTTATTTCGGTTTAAGAGTAGCTCTTTAGGTTTAAATTAAACCTGTTCCCAATGAGTTAAGCTAAATCAAAAAAGCCACTCAAAGCAGGGTCGACATTGGGGACCAGCAATTTAATTATTGGTTTAAATTCACACCTTGTTTTATACCAATGCAACTTTGTTTAAACAAACCCTTACTGACACAAGCACACAAAGTTCCTATGGGTTAACTAAACCACTGTTAAAAAAAAAAAATCACACCTTAAGTTAAACTGGTACAACTCTGTAGGTAGATCAGGCCTGTGGAATAACAGGTTTAAAGGAACTTTCTTACCTGGAAAGAGGTACTGGCATATATGAAAGAGAGAGATAATTTGAAGGTCTCTTGCTGCTTTCTTTTCTAAATTATCTGCCCTTTTTCTTCCTCTCCAGCTCCATCCCTTTTCCTCTGTTCTTGTTACTCTATTTTCTTGCCTTCTGCTTCTCTTTTACTCACTATGTACTCTCTCACTCTTTTCCTCAGTTCCATCTCCATGTTTTACACACAATCTCTCTCCTCCTTCAAACTCTTCTCGCCTGTTTTTTTTTTTTTTGGTTCTTACTCCTATTCAATCTCTAGAATTCTCCTCCCATTTCTTTTGCTTAAATGAGGGATGGTGCCAGGCCTGCACTATCCACTTCTCTAAAAGCTAACCTGACCTTTTATGGGAATTGTCAGCCTCTCTAGATAGAATTTTCTGTAGAGCAATATAGCTGTGAAAATGCAGAGTGGCCACAACCTGCTTTCAATGCACATTTAAGTCACTGTGCAGTGAGATACTCTGGATCAGCCAGAAAACTAAGGGAGAAGGGGGAAGCTCTTTACCAGAAACATCTGAATGATTAAAAACACAACAGCCACAAAAACAAACCAACCGAAACCTCAAGTTACCATGTATATTACGGATCTGTAATTACTTGTAAATTTGGAATCCATTGTGGAAAGATTTCAGAGGCATCCCGCCATTGTGCAGCAGAAGTATGGACTGGTTTACACATAGTTTCTAAACAGATTTAGTTATCATTGGAGACCCCTTGTACTGATACTATTAGTTTAGATTAGAGGGCCCTAAATTAATTTATGTTAAATGCACGCCAACATTCTTGAACTCTGAGGATTTGGGGAATCTAATACTCAGCTCAGTGTCATTTTCTCACTAGCTAGGAGGTGTTAGCTGAGGAGCCTGAGCATCTTTCACCTCAGGGAGGAAGGATGGTCCACTGGTTAGGGTGCTACCATCTGACTGGGGAGACCTCAGTTCAAGTTCCTTCTTTGCCACAGGCTTCCTGTTTGATCTGGGGCAGTTACTTAGTCTCTCTATGCTTCAGTTCCCCATCTAGAACAGGATTAATTCTCTACTCACAGGCATGTAGGGAGGATGAATACATTAAAGATAAGGCACTCAGATACAATCGTAATTGGTGCCATATAAGTACCTAAAATCAATTTAGCTTAATTAATTAAACAAACCAATGTAGGCTAAATTGATTGAAGGTAAGTCCATAAAAGGGGTTTTCACTGATACAACTAATCATTCTATATGGTTTCCTAATATTTTCTTTAAAACCTTATTTAGTTTCATCACTATTAAATTCTACAGGACTTTTCAGAAAGGAAACTGAGATACTGTAATACTAGGATATTTAGCATTTAAAGGAGAACTGTTAAAGGGGGATTTGGTTGAGATATTTAGGATTATGAGGAAACTGGAACTGAGCAGGCCCTCCTTTTCTTACTCTGCCCATCACACAAAAAGGAAATTAATGTCAGTTAAAATTAATAAAAGGAAATACCACACACAATGTATAGTCAGACTTAAGGTGGTTAGAGAATCAGATACTATAGCTGGGTTTTAAAAAATGCTGGATAATTTCATGGCTAATAACATTTGTCTATGCATGTTAAAATTAGGGAAATCAAATTTTTTGCTTCAGGGTGTAAATTGATCATTTGCAAAGATCAAGGAGGAATGTTTTCCTCTGCACAATCTTGAGGAAGTGGGTAGGTGCCTTATGATTTAATTTCTTTTGCTTTCCTTTAAGAGCATCAGACATTAGCCAATACTGGAACTAAGATACAGGACTTAATGGTTTAATGGTCTGATACAGTTTAGCTTGACCTTATTTTTTTAAGTCGCTGACAACTCTCCTAATTTAAAAAAAAATTACTTAAAATAAAAAGTATCTTATACAAGTTCGCAGGCTTCAAATATTTGATGTGTTGCATTTAAATCCTCTGTTGGATTTATATATAAGTCATAAAGGATTTGGTAGTCACTTATTATATTTTATTTGCATATTCTCATTTTTTGTGCTTAGAATTGCAAACTATTTGTTTGAAATGACAAATGTGTGTCTCAGTGATACGGCTGCAAGAACTTGAATCAAAGATTAAAAAGTAAATAAAGAGAAATTATTGAAAGCACTGTTTTAGTAAGCTGTTACAGCTTTTTGCAGTTCTGAGTCATTCCTAGTATGTGTTGGTTCTCCAATTAAAATATAAAAAGTTTTAATTAGATCTAAAAGCTGATATTTAATTTATTTATTTAACTATTGCAATACTCCCACAGTATCTTTATATGGATTCCTCTAGCTACATTTGCCCTATCCTAAACCTAGGCCACTCTCCATTCCAAAAGGTTATGAACATGCCACTCATCCTTCAGGCAAGAAGTTGGGGGTTAGAAACCTCCAGCTTTCATCCAGACCACACCACATGATCCATTGTCTACAGCCAAGCTCTACAATACAACTGCTTTTGCTCCAACCCCTCAGAGACAAACACCTACAAGATCTCTATCAAGCGTTCTTACAACTACAATACCCTCCTGCTGAAGTGAAGAAACAGATTGACAGAGCCAGAAGAGTACCCAGAAGTCACCTACTACAGGACAGGTCCAACACAAAAAGTAACAGAATGCCACTAGCCATCACCTTCAGCCCCCAACTAAAACCTCTCCAGCGCATCATCAAGGATCTACAACCTATCCTGAAGGATGACCCATCACTCTCACTGATCTTGGGAAACACGCCAGTCCTTGCTTACAGACAGCCCCCCAACCTGACGCAAATACTCACCAGCAACCACACTCCACACAACAAAAACACTAACCCAGGAACCTATCCTTGCAACAAAGCCCGTTGCCAACTGTGTCAACACAGTTGACACAAATGGACACAATGGACGTGAAGAATTGTAACATTCAAAAACCAGTCGGAGAACACTTCTATCTCCCTGGACACTTGATTACAGACTTAAAAGTCACAATATTACAACAAAAGAACTTCAAAAACAGACTCCAATGAAAGACTGCTGAATTGGAATTAATTTGCAAACTGGAGGCCATTAAATTAGGCTTGAATAAAGACTGGGAGTGGATGGGTCACTACACAAAGTAAAACTATTTCCCCATGTTTATTTCCCCCCTACTGTTCCTCATACATTCTTGTCAACTACTGGAAATGGCCCATCTTGATTATCATTACAAAAGTTTTTTTTTTTCTCCTGCTGGTAATAGCTCACCTTAACTGATCACTCTCGTTATAGTGTACATGGTAACACCTGCTGTTTCATGTTCTCTGTGTATATAAAATCGTCCTACTGTATTTTCCACTGTATGCATCTGATGAAGTGGGCTGTAGCCCACGAAAGCTTATGCTCAAATAAATTTGTTAGTCTCTAAGGTGCCACAAGTACTCCTGTTCTTTTTGCGGATACAGATTAACACAGCTGCTACTCTAAAACAGAGCTTCTGAGATAGACACTACTGCTGCTTCATGAATGAGCAAGCGATATGTAGAAAATGTCTGTCCTGTCCCTAGTAGTGACTTCACCATACTTCTGAGATTTTGTTCAGCTTCATCACCTAGATCACTAGCACCTCTGCCAGAGATATCAAGCTGGCTATTCTTTATTACATAAATTAGTACTACTGCGATTATGAAAGCAGTTGGGTGAAATTTCTTTGACTTATTAAATTTTCACAATAGTGAAAATTTCCTCGGTTGATTAAAGATGACATTTCAGATACAAAATCCACTAATTTACTTTCAGACAGTAAAACAAACAAACAATACAAAATACTCATTCTAATTTTACAATGCTATAGAAAGTAGCCTGAAAAGGTTACTCAGTCTGCAGATCCTTGGGCAAGAAGAACCACTAGTGCAATTAAATTGCACTAAAGTTATAGGCCACCAATAAAAGTGACATAGGTTCATAGACTAGCAAAGAATAGTAAGAGGGCAGAGTATACAAGTAGTAATAAAAATCTTCTGTTATGATTGTACAATATCATTTGTAAAAAATTGTTTGTAAATAACCTCCAGTACTGAGCATAAGCATCGTGTATTGTTGATATAATATCTTCTCCCCTGTTATCTGTTTTGAGGGGCCAATTACTTTTTTAAACTAACAGTATCAACAACCGCAAGCATTCAACAATCTTGAGTCAGGCCCCCAAAATCAAAAGACCACCTTAAAACATGAGATTGTAATTAAGTTTTTTGCTTTTGCTTTTTTCTGCTTTTTGATTTTTTTCACCTGAGGGGGAAGCTGCCAAACCCCAATTTGTGTGTGATAATCTCAGGTTCTTAATTAATCCTTCAATGCACACACAAAAAAGTAGGACTCTGTTTCACTTAACTTCTTATATCTACTGAAGCATGGGGAACTGCCTCACTCATATGCACCTGGCCTGCTCTACCCCAAATGTACTGTTCCCCATCTACCCTCTTTCTTTCCCCTCTTTCTTCTCAGTCTCATACCCATCACATTCTCCTGCTCTGCCATATCATATTTCCCTGCATCCCCCTCAGTCTGTCTCCTGTTCCCCCTAAACTCATCTCAATCTGCCTCCTGCTTCCCATAGTCCTCATTTCTCAGTATCCTGTCTAGTTTCCTAACATACTCCTTTCCCTGTTGCCTCTTCAGTCTCACTTACAGAACCTCCACAGTCACTGACCCCAGTCTGGCTCTCACATGAGAACTAAAAAGGCCACTATTTTCTTTGAGGGCAGCTGGTTGCTTCAGTCTCATTTACAGTACTGGGAGATGGTGGCCATCTTGGATAAAAACCTACACAACTTTGCAAACATCATTATGATCACCATAAAACAGCAAGCATGGGCAATATTGGAGCTAGGGCTGCCAGTTTTGACTGGACATATTGCTGGACATTTCATCTCATGACAATCTTTGATTAAAAATTCATCTTTAATTCCTGAAAACTCCAAGACAATCCTGGAGGGTTGGCAACCCTAACTGGACTAATTCTATTACTCAAATAATGGTCTAATCTCTTAAACAGAGCTTTTTAATTCTAATATCCTGAACTATAGGATTCCAGCTTAGGTTATTGTTTCAAAAGGCTTGGGAGGGGGAAAACACTTCAAGCAACGTTACTTCAATTAGTCACCAAAATATAAGATTTTAAGAAATGACTACTGATTTGGGGTTCCTAATCACTCTCTGAAAATCAGGTCTCTTAAAAACATCTCAACTTGGGTATCCAAAAATTGAGGCACTCAGTCACAAGTTATTTTTAAAATCTTGACTCTAATGTAGAATGCAAACTCCTCTTCTACACAAACAGCAAGAGCACCTCCCCTTTCTATTAAATCTGAAGCTAGATATTTCTGCTCTGTTCCCACTGTGGGGATGTTTAGTCTCTGTAAGCTTAATGGCCCTTGGCTGTGCCTCATGCTAAGCTGTAATGCCCGACAATTGGTTCCATTTCAAATGAAAAATGAAAAGAATAAATTAAAAAGGGACGACAGAGTCATTGGTGTATCTTGCTATTCTGAGGGTTTTTTTGCTATTGGGGATTGGATCAGGATTTCAAATAGCTGTGTAGTCAACTCACACATTCTGCTCTACTGATGTTTCACTAAATAGGCTTACCTAAACTGTGATTGCACAATATCTGTACTCTGTAAACTGTAATTCCATTTATGTAGGTTCAACTAGGCTAGTTCAAAAATCCAATATCACACCTTATTAGTTCTGTTTAAAAGAACAATAGAAAATGTTGGTTTTAAATATAAATGCAATAGCCTTTCTTATACTAAGTTATATTGATTTCAATTAAGCAATGATGGATGGTGAGGTGTAGTTACCCTAAAATAATTACATTTCTTACCTAACCAACTACATACTTTCATATCTATTATGTCATAATCCACCTTTTTGTTTTAAGTCTATTAATATACATTCAGATTGACTGAAAACTTAGTATTACACTATCGTGTAGCTTTTGAACTAACTAAAATGTGAAAGTCACTATATTAAGGAATTGAAAATGAGTTGAATGCATGTTGGTAAATACAATATGGTATGACCATCTAACACAATCTCCTCTTCTAGATGCTATATTTTGCTCCTCATTTACAAAATATTGCATTTGTCAAAGGCTGTGTTACATTTACCAAAATCCTAATTGACCAAAGATGTTTGTGTGAAGCAGTTTGTCAATACCACACATCCAAGCATTGCTGAGTTTTAAGAATTATCTTCATTTTCACTTGTTGACAAGACAGATGGCTTTTCTAGTAGCTATGATCCACCATGTAGAACACAGCATCAGATTGGTAGCCTGTAGGCCCAAACAGACTTCTATAATTCATAGATCACCATTTTGCTTTTACATTCAAGGCAGGACATTCAAGTTTGCTTTTTCTAAATCTTGGACACATATAAATGAGTAAATATCTCAACTAGGGCTGTCAATCGCAGTTAACACTGTGATTAACTGAAAACACAATTAATGTGTTCATTTATTTAATATGTTCATCACAGACCTCTGGACCAGGAGGGAGGCATCAGCTGTGAGGGACTTGACAGTGTCTGGTCAGGTGCAGTAACCCAAGCCACCACTGGAGGGCAGGAAGAGAAGAGGACAGAGGAAGAAGTGGCTCTCATCCTGGCTGTGGCAGAGGCAGGGATCCTGACCCCCTCCTCCCCAGTGCTCTACTCCATTGTCCCGGGCCAGCCACTTCCTCCCGGGACCATACCCCGCCCCTCCCATGTGCCGTGCCCCATTGCCCCGGCCAGCCACTTGCCACTGGGACCAACTCTCCCCATTGCCCCTGGCCAGCCACTTGCGCCCAGGACCAACTCCCCCACTTGTGCCATGCCTCACTGCCCTTGGCTAACCACTCACTCCTGGGACTGACTCCCCCACCTGCACCATGCCCCATTGCCTCCAGCCAGCCACTTACTCCTGGGACCAATCCCCCCACTGCACCGTGTCCCATTGCCCCATGCCAGACACTTGCTCCCAGGACTGCCCCCCCACACCTCCTGCACTATGCCCCATTGCCCCTGGCCAGCCACTCTCTCCTGCGACCACCCCCCACGCCATGCCATTGTCCACAACTGGGCCCTTGCTCCAGGGACCGACCCCTCCCCATGCCCCAATGTCCCCAGCCGGCCCTTGCTCTGGGGAATACCTCATAGAGAACACGGGCCTGGCAAGCTCAGCCTCCATGCACCAGCCTCTTCTCCCCTACTGCATGTGGAATCCTTAAGATATAATCCACCCCCCCTTGCAAACAAGGGCTCACTCTGCTGAAGGAACCCCACGCAGCTCAGTAAAAGTAGCATAATTGCACTGTTTAACAGTGTGATTAAAACTATGATTAATCGTGATTAATTTTTTTAATCGCTTGATAGCCCTAATCTCCACAGAACTGCAAATTAGTCTGGAAAAGCACACTCAGATAGGGTGGAATAATGCAGATGGCTGCAGTAGGCCACATACAATAGAAATAGAACAAAGCCAGTTCACACAATGGTGTCATAATTGCAGCTACAGGAGCCCCTTCCCCACCCCACCCTTATATGTTGAAATCCTAGTGTGTGGTTTACTTACACTTCAGTGCTGCATGGTGCACAGCAGTGATTCTTAAAGTTTTCAGGGTAGTGAGCCATTCAAAGTTTAAAAAGAAAAAATACAAGACCCCCCTCACACTGATTATATAAGTCAGAGGAAAAAAGTATCAATGATAACAATAAGCCTATATAATTGATTTGTGTGTGTTTTTCAACAGGTAGACAAAAAACTTGACCTTGAAGGTTAAGGGTGTGCAGGGAGTGGAGGAGAAAGATTTTCCTTGCTTTAGATTGTAATATAATTTCCAGCCTCCCTGCTTGCCTTTCTTGACCCCTTTGGGAACTGTGATCCACTGACTGAAGAACACTTGTGTAGAGCATGAGCTGAGTTCAGAGTTATGCAGTAATGATAACCAGCTCTCTGGGAAATCAGGATGTGGTGGCTCCCTTTGTTTCCACCCTGTCTGGAAAAAGTCACTGGTTCTCTTGTTCACCTGCTCTACAGCTAACTCCATCCAACCTCCTTCACAGACCCAAGCAATTCTGGAGGCAATTCCTTTCGCCCACCCTTTTGAGACTGAGTCTCTTCACTCAGGCTGCCATAGCAGGACAATTTGGGGCAGGTGAGAAAGGTGAAGGGGGGAGAACACAAATCAATGTTTGAACATTTTCAACTTACAAATCTAATGTTTGCAGTATTGTGAACTCTCATAATATTTGGTGTTTTTCTTAAAGTCACAGCTTTCATTTAAAAAAAAAGTTTAGGTCACATGATTGCTGAGAAGAACTGCAAAGTATATCCACTAAAGGCTTATAAACTACAAAACTAAAGAATTAAAATGT